TGTTTATATATTAAATATATTTATATATAATATAGAAATAATAATATTAATGTATATACATGTAAATATTTTCTAAATATATACTGTATGTGTGTGTATTTATATATACATAATAAATAAACAAATAAATAAACAGTACACATACATATATTATGTAAACAAAAACTTTTATTTTGGATGCGATTAATTGTTTGACAGCGAAAGAAAACAAATAGATAAAATAGAATTAGAATAGAGTGCTAGAGCGAGCAGGTCAAATAAATTACATGACATGATTTTTTTTAGTTAATTATAAATTCACTGTAAACCATGGCTTCTTGGGGCTTATTGCTTTATTTTAATATGCATCCACGTGACTGGAGATTTGACATAAGGGCAAAAATTTCACAAATTTTCCAATTGGTCATGTGAATTTCTGGCACTGACCAACAGAAAGCTGCTTGGTTTGAAAGTTATTTTTGTGTGAGATAACGCAGAAAAAGACAGTCACTTATCGCCAACTACTGAGACATAACATGAGAGAAGAACTGCTGAACGAATCTTTTTAATGAACGAATCTAGAAGATTTGACTCATTGAAATGAATCACCAAATCTGTTGTTTATTCTTATGGGGAATTTTTTTTTAGATCATTTTAATTATCAAAGAACCACCACTGTATTCAATAAAAGAAATTAACATTTAGTCATTTAGCAGGCGCTTTTATCCAAAGCGACTTACAAATGAGGACGATGGAAGCAATCAGAATCAACAAAAGAGCAATGATACGCATGTGCTATAACAAGTCTCAGTTAGCTTAACGCAGTACACGTAACAGAGTTTTTTTGTTTGTTAATTATATAATAAATAAAAAGAAAACAAATAGATAGAATATATAAAGAACAGAGAAAGCTAGTGTTAGAGGCCTTTTTTGTTTCTTTGTGTTTTATAGAAAACATGCCGTGTTAGAAAACAGATTAAAATAAAAAAGTAGTCAAACGATAAATCGTGATTAATCGCATCCAAAATAAGTTTGTTTACATAATACGAGTGTGTACTGTGTATA